GGTCCATTTCTTGGTGGGAGATCTTAACGATTTATTTGTTTCTGTGTACAGTCAAACTCAATTAACACAGATACCGAAAAAGTGTCCGTATTAACGAGGTGTCCGTATAAAGTGGGTTGAAGTTAGAGAAAATGTAAGGGCTCTATTTCCCCAGGCCAGGGACAAAGCAAACTATTCGCAATAATAAGGCGTCCTAATCAAAAAGGTGTCCGTAAAGCGGGATTTGACCGTATGGTGTTACCAGCAGCTTCACACGATTCAATGTGTTAGCTAGGGTATTTTGGAGTTAATAAACCCTCCTTTTATTGATCTTAATAGGTCTTACACTGACAATGGACAAATCGAGGTTTATCCCGAGGCGAATCGATTTACAGTCGGATCAAACAGCTTCCAGGCCATCATATTTACACGTATAGATCTACCATACCTAAGGTTAAGTGACCAAGTTCTTGATCTAGGTCGTCGTCAATATCTTCAAACACCAGATCGCTACTTTTAGCCTTTAGTGTAAAAAAAAAGTGGTTAATGACTTTGGTGCAATTGCTGTAACCTCCAAGGGGAGGTTCGACTATTCATCTACTGTTCAATAATCATTATTGCCATCTGATTCTTCAATGTACTGGTGACAGGCTGGTTTCTAAGCAGAAAAAACAAATAGTTGAAAATCTGCAGGACTTGAACAAACAGAGGGAGACCTGATTCTAGAATGTCAGTACTGAGAACATCATTTAACTTATAGCTACCTTGAGATGTCATTTGATGTGTTTTTTCTATGATGCTTAGCTGAAATATCTTCCCTGAAAAAATGAAAAATAGAAATAAACAATATACTGCAACATCATCCTTACTGATATAATTTTTGAGCACACAACTTTTTAAGCACAAATAATGTTAAACACAAAGTATGCTCTATGCAGGCAATTATTACTTCTGTCTCCCAAGTTATTTTAAAATAGGGAAACAATATTTTTTTGAGTGATACTCACGGTCTATGTTTTTCTCTTCCCTTTCGGTCAACAGGAACATCCTGCATATTGTGAAGTTCATCAGTCTGCAAAAAAGGGAAAATAACGATTCTATTGTACAAAATAATGTAAGACATTTCTTGACTTAACGACGGAGACCTCATTTCCAGAGGTCGACATTATACTCAAAAAGTCTTAGGCACATTCGTTTAGGTCAGAAACCTGACACTCAAGTAAGTATTTAGGTAACCTATAGGTACCCTGCGAGCAGAGGTCACTCTCTTGCATGGCTTTTAGCGTTTACAAAGTCGTTCGCGTGGCTTGTCTGTCACGTAGTTAGTTTGTTTACGTCTCACGGGGCGTAAAGGAACTAACCACACGGCAGACAAGCCACGCGAACCGCCGACTTCGTACACACTAAAAGCCATGCAAGAGAGAGACCTCTGCTCGTAGGGTATCTATAAGTGAACTTTCCATAAAGTCCTTCCTCCGAGACCTCTGACGACTTCGTCGCTCGTTTAGAAACTCGTGAGGTCGACTTGTGGCAAGTCTAGCCTATACGTAACTGGCAGAATCAGGTGGTTAATATAATTAGCGGTAATCAGCCACCGCATATGAGTGCAACTCATCCCCTTTCTGATCGCGACATTATACAGCCAAGGCAACGACAAATAAAAGCATCTAAGGAATTACTCGGTCGCGCGCCCCAAGTCCCGCCAACTCTGCTATGCAGGCGAGTATTGAAGTACGGGCTCAAGAAATTAAAGTTCAAAGATGGGCGACACTCCGTAAACCTTTAAATCTCTATTGTCAGTTTTCTCCTTTCGCCCCGCCGCCAGAGCACCTAAGAGAGCTTGCTAGCAGGCTAATTTTCTCCGAACAATATCATTTAAAAGCAAAAGAAAAAAAGCAATGAGAGTCAATGAAATGATCAGCCAAATTAAGAGAAAATGCTTTGATCTTTAAACAAATTCTCCCGACTATAAATGCTTTAAGGGGTCAATCAGGGGTGTCTCACGTCAGAATAGGGAGCTTAAACAGAGGCGTTTTTGAGCGACGCCATCTGCCCGAAGTGAGGCGCTTTTAATATGCCGCCTTGATGCTATAAAATTTATATTGCTTAGTTTCTTAATTTGCCTGAAAATTTGGGCAAATCCACTGCCCAATAAGGTAAAGAAAGAAAAAATCACATAACTAACAGAACGTAAATCACACAGACTTTCTGAATGACCATAAGCAGAGAACGGACATTGTCTGTATAAGCTGACGATGCAAGGGAGTCTGCTTTTAAAAAAAACGAAAACCGCCAGAGAAATGTTGGGAGCTTCAAAAAAGTAGCAGACGTAGTTATTTTTGTACAAAATATTTACTATATTGGATGTGATACCAAGTGAGGACGGCCATGTTTTTTTTTAATTGGTTTAAAGATGACGTAAAAATTCTGTATTTTGGTGGGGTAGAATTGCTTTTTGGTAGGAAGTCTTAGGTCATGCAGCTGAGGATCAGAATCAAATCCGATCTTCCAGTTGGTAAATAAACCATCCCGGATCAGTCCACACGAAGTTTTACAGTCGTGGTTGATTGATACAGTCTATCATTTATTAGTGAAGAATAATTAAGGGAGGGGGGGCTTATTAACTTTCTTCCCCTGAAAAGGGGAGCTTTTTAGAGGAGGGGCTTATTTGAGAGGGGGGGGGCTTAATAGAGGATTTACGGTAGTATTATACCATGCAAGCTTCTTAAGAGTATGATGTTCTTTCTATGTGCCATGCAGTTACAATAATGATGTAGGATACTTGTAGTAAATTCACCCATTCACCCACTCCTGGTAATTTTGCTGGAAAACCCTTTTTGAAGCTCGCTGTTTTGTGGTCACCGTATTGCCATTGTGTGAAGGATTCTCCTCTATTCAACGACCTTAATTATAGTTGAATAACTTATATGAGTTGATTCCATTTTAGATAAGGACGCAAAGGACCTTACCATTAATTTGTAGAACAGTAAAAAGATTTGTTCTTTTCGGTGACCATGACGGAGATGTCTTTGCACTGGAGGAGAGATGGAAATAGTTCAGATAATCTGTTTCACGGTCGCATTACTACAGACCACTTCACTTCATGCCCATGTATAATAGACAATGCTGTTACGACTGTTAAACTCTTTAAGCCCCAATATTCAAATACCAGTTCTCCAGACTGATCTCCATACATTTCCCTAAAGAATTGGTTAAGAGAATTTGTTTGTAGATCAAAGCTTTTCCCATCAGGTGATCATTTTATTAATTCTCACAACATTTTCTCTTGATTCTGTATTGATTTTGTACCTAAAGGTTTTTATAAGTGATTTTCTAGACTGTAATTTGAGCAGTTCTTGTGCAACTCCTTCTTGTTAATATCTTGACAGCTCTTTCATATTATTTTCTAAAATATAGCTTAATTCATCACACATTGTACCCACTATTATCTATCTTCTCAATGGCTTGGAGCCTTTAGCTAATTGTCGCTCGCTTGCCCGCTTCTCGGCCTATAAGAACGCTCCGCTCACTAAGAAACTCGTGAGGTTGACTTGCAGCAAAGGACCGTGAGATGTTCCAGATACTCATCTAATGATAATATTAGTTAGTATTAGTACTAGGTACAGGTACCGGAAAATGAAGTGTTGTCTTTGTTGTGGAGAAACCAACTCTCCCCAGTTTGTTTCTATAAAGGTTGCGTTTTTTTCACTTTGGAAATAGCTACTGACGTACTAGTCAGTCCAAAATTATGGTGCACTTATTTACCTATTCACCCCTGGGAATTTTGCTGAAAAACGCGTTTTAAAGCTAGTCGAGCCGTTTTCTGGTCACTGTCTTTTGCCGGGCATTTACAACTGTAGCAGGATTCATTTTGTCGGGAAAAGTTTTTGGGAAAGCTTTTAGGATGAAAGGAAAGGTAGGTGGGTAGTGGAAGAAGAATTTCATGGGAATTTTCGCGTCAGCTTTACTGGTTTTTTGCCTTTTCCCCAGTCTCCTTTACTGAATCGTGCTTATCTAGTATGGTTTGAAAGATCTCTTGACCCTGCACAAAGTTGTCCTTTACCGTCAACAATTAAAATGCCAATAACAGTGACATTTACATGTTTAAGCTTGTTCCTTGTTGAAATTTCTATGCTAGGAGCCAGTCTCTTTGTATGGAGACACAAAATTCTTCTCCCTGGCCAAGCTGGATCGCTCACTTAGCCTTTCTACGATTAAAAAGTTCGTGGAGGAAGAAGAAGCAAAGTAAGCTGATAACTAGCTCTAACGAATGGTTTAATTCTTATAACAGTTACCTTTAAAACAATAATTTTACCATACTGATCTTTCTAGCAATTAATCGAATAAAGCAATTATTAACAGACTTTAAGCAAATGGTTTTCATGGTTTTGGCGCTGTAAATTGACTAGTCTGAAATGTTATACTTCTCCACCCCTAACCCGTGGGGGGCGCGGGGGATAGCAGAGAAGTCTGAATTCCGAGCGTTATAATGCCGTCCGGTGACTTCACCTACTTTTGCGAATACGGTAGGTATTTTCTGATTGGCTATTACCCTTCCGAAAACCTTCCCAAAAACATCCGGTTTGACAGGATAAACGAGACTTATAATTGCTGTGTGAAACATGACCTTAAGGTCAGTGGAAGTTAGCGTCTCCTCACAAAGTGAAGACTTATACTATAGTAGCAACTGATAAATTGACTGCCATGGTAAAGGAGAACACACCTTTTGTTACTTGTTGTTTCTATCAATTGCAGGCCTAGGCCAAACGTTTAAATTTCGACGTCTGGCTTAGTTACGTTCGTCTAAATGAGTTTGGATCGTCCAACACGTTCTAGTAAGGAGAGGTCAGGAGAGTTCTCAGATTAAAAGCGACTCTTCTCTTTTGATACGTTTAAGCTCCAGCCAAGGGTGAGAAGAATGAATTCACTGCCTATGTTATGTTGTCCTTGTTAGATCAATTGCCCCCTCTACAATTTTGACACTGTAAAACTGTCCTTTCAGGTTGCCAAGTAAACTGGTTATAGAATGGCCTGAGGATGACAAGCTGGATCCTAACTCGAAAATCCCAGCAGGAACCACCATAGGTGTGTACTTCTCGATAAACGATAAACTCTGTTGTATTAGACAATTTTCTTGGTTGCTATGCAGTTTCAATTTGAAAATTAAAGCCGATAGAAAAAATAAACGATCTGCGGCGATTGAAAATTAACATACGTAGTTCAGGTTTGAAATGTCCTAAATCATTAAATTTTCTCAGTCCTAAAGTAATTAGAACCCTTAACTTCCCCAACGATAGCCTGCGTCGAAATCCCTGATATACACTACATGTATATCACGTTTTGAAGTCTAGCTGTTGACTAGCATGTCTGGCTACAATGCAGGCTACAACAGTGAGTGATTAATTTATTCTTGGCAGTATATTATATGCTTATTTATGTGGTCTCATCCTTTTTTTTCAGAAAGTTGCTTTTTGGCGAGCAATATTTGGAAAAAATTAGGGAAAAAATTCGGTCTGAAAAAAATGAGGTGTGGGGTTGTGTGTGGTGGGGAGGGGAGGTGGATCAATGAAACAGGATACAATGTCTTACCTTTCTTGAATGTATCACTGCATTGTTTTGATGAGCAGAACTGAAGCAGTTTTGCCCTCTTCCCAAAGTAATACCTACTGTTGTTGTTTTTGTTGTTTGGTTTGGGTTGTTTGTTTGTTTTTTTTCTTTTTCACAAAGTTGATTGTAAAATTGCCTTTCGTCTTGTCTTTTAAATGTTTCTATGTATACTACCTCCTTTGGACGATGTTGTGGCGTGTCGCTTTCTTTATGTTTCTCCGTACGTCAATTGGTTTGCATAATATTAGTCTTCCTCTTCTTTAAGTTTCTCTCTGTGTTAGTTAGGCCTAGGCCAAACGTCGAACCACTTCGGTGGATTCCTTCAACAGTCCCAGAAGTTAGAACTGCTGTACAAAACTTCATTATTATTTCACTTGGGGGGTACACGTAGGTGTGAACGGGTTAATACATGTTTCACTGTATCACTTGTCAAGAAGTATAGCCTACTGTGAGCCATAGTGGCTTCACTGCCATCTCAGAAACTTAGTGGCAACTCTTAACATCGTTTAAAAACGATGTATTTTCCATTTCTTACTCAGGCGCCATGAAAGTGGACATTTTGAACGGAAAGGGTGAATCTGTGAACAAACTGCCTGGTGACAGAAGAAGATTGTTGGTAGAGTTAAAGGTCATTTGGCATGGTAAGAGATAAATGCTTTACATTGTAAGGAGAAGCACATGATTTGTGACGGGCTCGTAGTATGCCTTGCTGGATGCTCGTAGCAATAAGCTTTCCTCTGTTTTAATCAAGCGTTGACAAAAAGTTAGGTCTCCATTCGCACAAAATACCTCTCTTAAGAGTTAAGAAATTTGTGTTTGTACTTGTTACTTTTACGTGTTTGTTATGGCCATTGTTTCTAATGTTACTCTTCCGTTGAAGAAGTTAGAGCCCTCTCCCGATCGCTAATGATAAAATTCCTAACATTTGATAACCTGTTTTCGTTACTACGACATTCTTGCTAAAACTCGTAATAGAATGACGATTGCTACCACTTTTCCCCCGCCAAAATGATGTTGGTTCGCGCGCGCGCACTACTTAGTATTGAGAAAATCTCATTCTCTTAGCCGTCCTCGTCTTAGAATCTAAAACTCTCCATTGTTATCATTCATAAAGGATCGTTATTGTTATTTATTTACGTATTTTTTGCAGGAAGTGACAAAGATGGAGATAAAGTAATCACTAATCATGTCTGTCAACATGGAGGAAAGAGCTGGCCATACTGGTTCAGAAAAATGGGTAACTGAGTTAGTCTGCTGCTATCTGTGCTATGAGATTTATTGTTTTAATGCAGTGGATAGGGCTATCCAGTGTTTGAACAACTGGGGCCAGTTGAAAACAGTGTTTGAATTTACCTGTTCTTGCTGTCATTTCAGAAAATATTACCCTTCTTGGCCCACACACTCTTCAGCTTCAAGTGTTACTGAGTGACAGTTCAACTGCACCATCAATTAAGAGTCTTCCAGTCCATCGTATCAAGTTTACCGTTACAGGTTTGCAAAAAATGACCAGCCTGGGACAGTTTTAGGTTGCGCTTACGCTAGATGTGATTTTTCTGGATTCGTGACGATTCCGAACAATTTGGTTCCAGATTCGTTTTGAATGGGAACATTGTATTTTTGATCCACCCTGTTAAAATAACTCGTACATCTTTTGTTATCTTGTTTCTCCTTTGTTATTTCTGTTTATTTAGAGGCTCATCCAAACAAATTCACTGTTGGAATGTTGGAGACACCTCTTAGAGTTGGAGTTCCTTTCCAGGTATACGTTTTTGTTTCACCCCCCCCCCCGCCTCTCCACCCCGTTCGTGAGAGGATGTAGCTCCCTCAAGGGGTGTGGGGGGGCACTTCTTTCTAGTAATAGGCCAATGGGTATGTGCCCCTGGATGGGGTCGCATTTCCACGACTGGGTTGACTATAATTGGGAATAATGGCTTTACATTTTCAGAAGAGTTACTAGAATTGGGTCACAGGTTTTCGGGTTTTTAGGGAAAAAATCATTATAAGAAGGGGCTTAAAAATGGGAAGTTGGGATTGTGCAGAAAATTATCTTTGCCCAAAAGTGACTAAGATGGAGTCTATAATTGGCCACAGAATAGCCTATAGTTGTGAAGGGGTTCTAAGAGGCCAGCAACACATAATAAGCAAAATATTATCCAAGTACCCCTAGCAATATGTCACTAGAGGATGGTAACAAGGTTTAGCTAGTCTAGAATAGCAAATATTAAATACTATGTTTTTTTGGTTAAGATTCCACTGAATTTGCTGGATGAGTTTAACAACCCTTCAAAGTTATCAGAGGAAAAAGTACCCGTGTTAAGTGCAAGGTGAGTGTATTTTGATAAATTTTTAATGAAACGTGGATTTGTAACCTTGGTGTTAAAGTCAATCTTGCCTTCAACGGAATAACATAACTTGTTTATATTGTTAGCGGACTGGAGTTGACTCACCAGGGAACATCAGTAAAGGGAAACAGCCTGATCGTTAAGGGCGTGGTGGCCCTTGGTTCTGTACCATCCCATGCAGGAAAGGTGAGGGGTTTTTTGGAAAAAATCTTGGCCGATGTGATTCAATTTCTCGTGATAAAATAGAGTACGACGATATCGTCAGTAGCCTTCATGATTCAGAATCTCAAACTTACATTAAATTTATCTTAACAGTTTTTGTTTGTTTGTTTGTTGTAAAAGGATTTTAATCTAAAGATCACCCTACCAGGACTTGAAGAAGGTTCGCAGAGCTTGAAGATCAGGTTACTTCCAGGTACTCTTTTGACGCCATATGTGGGTTGAGTTTGTTGTTGCGTCTCTCCCTTGCTCCGGGAGGTTTTTCCTCCGGTACCCGGTTTTTACCTCTCCTTAAAAATCAACACTTTCAAATTCTAATTCGATCTAGAACCCACGGACACGTTTCATCGAGTTCTTAAGAACTCTTAAGTGCTCCTTGGGTAATACAAAGTACAATTTACAATTTTTACCAGCATGTAAATTTTCCTTAAAAAAAAAACAGAGACGCTGTCTAAAAAGGATGCGTTCCTCTGGGTTGATCGGGATCAGGATCAGTGATCTGGGATCACTCGGATCATGCTACATCAAATGAACCAAAGAATCCTTTTTCCAGGGTTGATTTGTCGGTTCCTTTAATGTGCTGTGGTCCGAATGATCTCTGATCTCTGATCACTGATCCTGATCCGGCTTCTCCCAGTAGAACGCAGCTCACAAGGCAACGTGGCTGTAGGGTTTTACCGTGACGTGCTCGCCCCCTTCTCACTCCAATTTTTGACTCACGTCAGCATGACTGTTTCTGTTTACTGAAACACGTTTTGTGCTGCAGGCCCACCAGAATCCCTTGCGGTCACACCAAATGACAGTGAGGTCACCATTGAAAACAACAGTGCCCTGCAGCTACAAGTGCAGGTCCAGGACAAGGCGGGAAACCTAACAGTTCAACCAAGGCTTAATGTTGTCTGCAAGGTAACTATGCTAATGTTCACCCCGTTGTGATTTAACTAACTGTGGAGTAATTGCTTCTTATTCCTAACATTAGAACTTCAATTTTAAAATGCTGGTTCCACAACTTTGTTAAGGAGTCATGAGGCGTTGAGTATACTCTGTTCAAGCAAATTGACGATTGTTAGACGTTCATTGCAACTACATATTTGAAAATCCCTGATAGCTCTGAGCTTTGGAGAATACACAAAGAACCTCATACCTTGTTTCCCACATACGGTAGACTGTTCGTATTATTTTATTGTAGGCAAGCTAAATATAATCTACACTTACTGCTGTCTCGAGCCCCGTGAATATCAGCTTGACCTTGCTGAAGTTTTAGAACCAAAATTTGATCAGAAACTTCACCTGCAGTACACTGTGTATGGAGAATAACAAATCAACTATAATTTTCCATGGTCTATTCCCTTGTCGATCATAGAAATGACGTCAAAATGTTCAAACACGAGCCGAAGGCGTGCTGCAAAGTTTTGAACTTTTAATGTCATTTCTATGGTCGTTAATTGTACCGACCATGAAAAATTGTCATTATTTTTTTCGATAACACTGATGTCCATTTCTGATGATGTTTCTTGGGAAATCATATTATTTGTTTGTTTTAATTTTTTTTAACAAAAAGGTACATTGAGGGCGGCTGCCATCTGAAAAGCAATGTCCCAGATGGCAGGAGATCATTTATAGTATCATCGTTCGCAGTGCAAAATACACCTACTTTGCAGTTTACAATCGACGACAAAATTGTTGAGACATTATCCTCAAATGGGATAACCTCGGAGAACAAAACAATCTGTACCCCTCCCCCATCCCGTCGATTCAAAGTTGGGGTGTTTCTTGTTTTCAACAGATAGCTCGAACAGCGGTACAACGTTGCATGGAGGGGGTCAGAGAGGCCCTTTAGGGCAAAGCGTCTCAACTAATTTTGTGGCCGATTATAGGGAAATAGCGCGAGAGAGAAAGAGAAAAAAATATATAACGCCATCTTCACTTCATTTCCGAGTCTCATCGAGCACAGCTCTCGACCAATCAGCGTGTGAAAAATCGCTTTGTTATTGTAAAACTTGAATTTGATAAGAAACAACTACGTGTGTTGTAGCTGACAGGCACACCAGGCTTACCAACTTACATAGGAGACTGCAGTGCATCTGGGAAGGCCTCCCTAACAGGCGCTGACATCAGTCTGAAGCAGATCACCAAGGAAACCAAACTAAAGGCCAAGATAGAGTTACAGGTTTGTCATTTGATTAGGGAAATGGTGATGGTCCCTTTTGGCTTTGGTACCAGAGACCTTTAGATTCAAGAACGAGGACGACTACTAGTGCGAGATTTGACTTAAAGTTTTTTCGCGTATTCTCAAAATATAGAATCCCCGGAAAGCTTCATTTTAACATTTTTCTCTAGAAACGTTAGCGCTGTTATCTTTAGTAAAGGAGGTTACGCGCTCTTTCAATCCCAAAGTAATAAAACTTCCAACATTTGATAACTTGTTTTCGTCACCACGACATTCGCGCTAGAATTCGTAGTAGAGTGACGACGGCTACCACGTTTTCCCGCCAAAATGAGGCTGGTTCACGCGCAAGCCCTATTTTGTATTGAGAAAATCTCGTACTCGTCTTAGAATCTAAACCTCTCTACTATCACCCTACGAGCAGAGCCTGCTTTTGTCCTCTTAAGTGAGGAGGAAAAAAAGGAGGTTCTGTCTGATTCGCATGATCCCAGTGAAGTCGCTGAAGCCAGAACACCCGGACCAGTCAATCTTGTTCTCTATCGTCAAACTGGTTTTCCAAGTGCGACCGACCGTTATTGATGAAGCGATGGCCATACCTAAACCCACTGTGCCGTGTGCACAGCTTTTAGGCCTGGGTTCAAAAACGTTTATCAGCAACAATTACCTCATGTACAACAACAAGCTTACTCGATTTGTGCGGAATCTTTCTCAAATACGCCAAAATCGAGAAAGTTAAAGGAAGGCACTGTCCGCAGGGTGTGATGCGTAGTCGTAAAGTTCTTACTTTACATCTTTAAATTGTATCTGGGCTTGGCTGACCAACACCCCGAACCTTAGCATGTTTGTTTGTCGTTTTTGTAAAACACACAACAGTAGCCCTGACTTAGTGACTGGTAATGATCTTTTAGCATCATAAAGAGGTTGCAGCAGTGGAAAAGACCATTATTGTGACACCCAGTAGTAAAGCAGCAGAGCTGGAAGTGTTTTACAAATTTCCTGATTCGAAACAGAAGAAGAAGATGGACGATGGACAGGAGCTGCCTTGCACAGCAGGAAACACACTTACTGGACTGAGTATGTGATAAACCAGAAATCAGTGTACTTAGTTTGATATGATTTTTTCGCCCTTGTTAGCCTTAAGTTGCGTAGGGAATTAGTATAGGTAATAGCATGATTTGTAGTGATATTTGGCATAAATACCACGAATGAAATTTGAGACTACTTTGAAATATCACGAGTGGTATTTATGACAAATATCACGTACAAATCTTCAGGCTTAGAAAAGAGAAAATATGGGTTTGAAAAGAGGAAAGGCATTTAGGTGCACCAAAATACCACTCCTTATCATAGAGGCATGACCACATCAGCTAAAAATTAGGAAGTTTATGCAACGATAAATAATAAGAAACAAGCAATCAATAGGTTTTGCCTTAACTGAACTCGATATTAACGACACGTCACACTTTTTGGTGCAAACGCAAAGGTATTTCCGGTCGTCGCTTCTCTCCACCCGAACAGGAAACACGTCTGCGTTCGCCCGCTATCCTTTGCAGAACTCTAACGCGAAATTTCCCGCGAACTTAAATGGGGGCACGAACATATGAAGATACATTTTCCTCTCTTTATAACTTGGGAGTGGTCCCTTACAATGTGTCCATAGGAACATCGGTCGTGAGCAAGTTGCTATCACGATTAAGTTTGAAAGATCGAGTCTTCACTGTACTGGTGACGCCTTCGTAGTTACTTAAACTGTCCATTCGCCTCCTTAGAAACGAGAAGGGGATTTGAGCCCATACGTGTCCCGCAAATGTTTCTAGGATTGTTACTGGGGACACGACCGTCAGCTATTGGCCAATTTTTTTCCCTGTTGTCAGTAACAGTCCAGAAGTCTTTGCGAACGTCAACTTGGTCTAGTTTCCTTCTGAGTGTGTATCAGTCAATTTTCTTCTTTTGTTGGTTTAGTTCAATTTGCAGTCACATTTTATCTTCTGCCAGCTGTCAGTGTCACGACCTGGTTTTTTTCCAAAGTTGGTTAAATGTAACCCAGCCTAGCCTTTTTCTCGTCATTAGGGACCTTACGAAACCACGGCGACGACGGCAACGGGAACGTGAAAAAACAATAGGTTCAGTGAGCAATACAACAACTCTGCACGTGCATCACGCTTTTTTGTACATTTCTTTGCCTTCACTGCACAACAACGGCGTGAAATGACCAAATTTTAAGTTTATTGGGAACGGGAACGGCAAGTCGAAAAATTCTACCATCTCTGTCCGAACTTGAGCGCGTTCCCCTCTCTTCAGCTCTAGCCAAAATCCCCATCGGTAGCGAAGACATCGTTAAAGTTCTATCTCTTGTTGCAAGGGCAAGCTCATATTACAAATGTAAATGTAGCATCTTGCTGTCACCGACAGGTTTTAGAATTCTGGATGAAGGACAGAGGGAAGTAACAATAGACAACTCCTTAGCCAGCAGATTTAAGGTAGATCCAAGAGAGGTCTTAGTCATTCTAAATGGAAAGGATGTAAATAATTCAATTGCTTCTCTGTAAATATTCTTACGAAAGTCCTTGGGACAGTTAACTTAGCCTAGTTTCTAAAGTAGCGAATTAAATTTTATACCAATAGTCCATTTTCGGGTTGCCGAGCAAACCATCAGTTCTTTATCAAAGCAAGGCTCGGTGCACAATCATCCATGCGAACAAGAGTTTAATTAATCTGCGTGTGAATGAAAACTCATTTTCATAATACATAGGTTTGGCGAAGCTCCCGTTAATGAAAAAACTTTTTCAATAAAGAAATCCAATTAGAGTTGAGCCTGCGATCAGTTGAAAACTAGAAACTTGTCAGCGGTAAACTTAAATTAAAAAGAAGACGTAACCTCGATGGGTCGACACCTGAGCCCGCGATACGGTCAGGTGATACTGGTCAGCAGATACCCTGCTTTGACAGCTGTCAACTGACCACAACATGGATGTGCAATATCAGGTTGCAGGCTCCCAAACTAGCTGGAAAGTGTAGCATTTCATATTGCTTTCCCTATGGTGCGGACGGGCGGACGGGCGGGCGGGCTGGCGGGTCGTTGGCCGTACGGTCATGTGACAACCATAATTTCTCGGATGGGTAGGTAACCAAATGTTCTTAGCTATGGGGCTCCGCTATGAAATGACCAATAACAGGAGTTTCTTTTATAAAGAGGCTGAAGGCAATCGGAAAAGGCCCATTGTAGAAAACGAGTAGCCACCCACAATGTGAGCACGGTCAAAGACAGAACATTTCAGTAAAGGAAATTGGACAACAAAACGCAATCCACTAGGTCGGCATGTCAACTCAACAATCAAGGCTCTTTAGGAAATAGGAATAACACACATCTTCACATAAGCAAACTTAGTGCGCTTTCCATCTGCCAGACCAGCCCACTGCCCAGCCAGAACAGTCTATTTTTAAATTCTGTGCACATCAGTGTTGGTTTTCAGTACTAAATACTGCGGCTGGCATTATAACTTTTACTTGTAGATATGATCATATAACTCCCGTTCTAGTTAGACTACATTGGCTCCCTGTTTCCTATCGTATAAGGTTTAAAGTGCTACTGCTGACTTACAAAGCGCTTAATGATTTATCTCCTGAATATATATCTGAGCTACTTAATAAGCCTAAATATACCGGCAATCTTAGATCTCAGTCTCAACATCTGCTTAGTGTTCCTAAATCCAGAACTGTTACCTATGGCAATAGAGCATTTCCTGTCTGCGCTCCTAAGCTATGGAATGAACTGCCTTTTCAGTTGCGCATGTCGTCAAATATACAAGCATTTAAATCAGGACTGAAGGCAATGCTTTTTAAAATGGCCTATCTTTAGATGGGCATTTGCTTTATTATTTTGCGTACTATTATGTCTTTTCTTTTGTTTTCTATTTTTTTTGTAGTGTGTAAGTTGTAATCAGTAATTATTTTTTAATTATATATAATTGTAGAAAATAGAATGGTGGTATGAAATTGTAAAAACTATTTTATAGTTAGTATAAGGTTTAAAATTGTAAAGCGCTATGAATAATTAGTATTAATAGCGCTACATGAATTATTATTATTATTATTATTATTACTATTATTATTATTAAAAAAGAAAGAATTAGCAGTTGTAAACTTTTATTGTTTATCAATGTGATGACTTGTCTTCTTGTTTCTCCAGGTTAACTGGACTCCTAAAGTTGCCAAAGACATCATCAAGCAAGGGATTCTTCCTGATGTGAAGGTAATTTATAGGACTTAGTGAAAATAGGTTTGTAAGTGACGATTTAAGCTTCCATGGAGCAACAGTTGGTTAGTGCGCGGCCTTCAGTGCGCAAGGTCCCCGGTGACATCGCATCCTTGATCCAGCTTCTCTCCTTCCTGTGTAGCTTTAACTAGCTTTAAATACCCCTTAAATGAAGTGTGATGAAGAAAGAGGGGTAAAATGAGTGCATTGTCGACCTCAAGTTTATCAGTTGAGTTACTGTCATATCGACGTAAAATATGGTTGCTTTTCCTTTTCCATCTTAACCCATTCGCCCCTGAACCGCCCGTAACCGCCCGTGCGGATCCAGGTCCTTTCTACCCTTTGTGACGTCATCAGTTTTAACGGTCGAGGACAACTTTCTTCGCTAACTTGTGTAGAGTGAAGAGATCTTTCAAACCATACCAGAATGAGCACAATTCAGTCAAGGACACCGGAGAAAGAAGCAAAAAACCACGTGACATTGACCTGAAAATCTCCATGAAAATCTTGTTGCATTGCTCACCTACCTTTCCTTTCACCTAATCCTAAGATCCTAAAAGCCTTCCTAAAAACTCTTCCCACCAAAATGAAGCCTACTAAATGCCCAGCAAGAGAAAAAAAAAACGAGGCAAGAAAAGCGAAAAAAGAAGGGAGGAGAGAAAGCGAAAAGTAAAAGTCAAGACTGCTGTGTCACTTTTAAACCCAAAAACTATAAAATTTGCTTTCTGCGCATGCCCGAACTTCGCAAGCTCATATTTTGCCTCTGGATCAGAAGGCCGCGAAGTGTACGACCTGTAAACCGGTTTCTGGTAAGTTTTAGCTCTTTATAGCACGACAGTGACCAGAAAACCACTCGACTAGCTTCAAAACGCGTTTTTCGGCAAAATCTCCAGGAGCGAATGGGTTAAGCTTTTCAAGCTGCTTTTGTTGTTGAATGTTTTGGTCACTATTTTTATAAATCAAAGTTTCAGTTTCCAAACAATGATCATTCCAAAAGTATAGATGTTAACAGTCATTGGTTCAGCGAACACATACATGCATCGTACTTTTTGCTGCACCAACTGACAAACATGCAGTGCTCCATTCAGGCCAAGATTTGTGTTCTGAGGTGAAAGTATCGTCATTTGTGTGTTTATTGTAGGCACCTCTTTCTTGTGATGAACCAAAATACTGCCAAGTTAGTATGACCGGTGGAGCAGGACTGGAGTTTTCCTTCACGTTAAGGTAACACCCATCACTATGAACGTTTTTGCAAAGTAAGACTTCTTGCCAGACTTAAGCGAGGGAGAAACAGCATTGTATAAAAGTGACAGTACAGTGGACCTTCTTACAACAGACACTGAAGCCAGGGAGACGGACATAGCTTTAAGCCGCTTACCATGGCTGTTAGTTGCCTATAACTTACCTCTCAGGCTACTAATCTCTCTTTTAATAACTCCCTTTGGGAGTGATTTGACATAAGAAGAGGTTGGTTTCAAGAACGTCAAGTCAGTTTATCCATGCATTGCCTTTTCAGTATCCTTTTCCCCTTTAAATGCGCTAATATCATTCTACGAATATAAAGTTTTGAACTGACGTTTCCAGCCGTTATTTTGAGCACTAGGCGAGTTGTCAGAGCCAATTAGAGAATCTGAGTTGGTCTTGCGAATATTTAGGGAAGTTAAGCAACTAACTCGACAACGGCCATAACAACTCTTTTCACGTTTGTCGTTGCCATTGTGGTTGTCCCTTAAGCTGGTTTAGAAAAACAACAAAGCAATTTGTCTAATTTCGGTCACGTCCTGTCTACAGACCCCATGCCGACGCTCCCAGCATCTTGAAGTGCTCATGCAATGAACCTCGCATGAGATTAGGAGAGCCTCTAGCATCAGATATCATTCTGTCAGCAACTGATAGACATGGCAACAAAACAGGCAAGGTGAGCAATTTCCTTTCAGAACATCTTTCTTTGACAAGGCCAATCTGCAACAATTGTTTCAGTAATTCGTTTTATTTTTTAATCAACAAATTTATTTGATTGTTTCCTCGTTTTCTGTGTTGTTTTGTAGTTTTCAGGTACAGTTTTTCACTTTCATTCGTCAGTTTTTTAGTGATTGACTCCAATTTACTTCCATATATTTTATAGTTTCTAGACCACGTATTGCCGGAGTTTTATGTTTCCTAAGGTGGACTGAACAAATTGCATACCTTTTCTTTTATTTTAATTTGTCGAAAAAAAAAAAACTGTAACATGTTTGCCAGGCTTGTTGGCCATCACCCTCGTATCATGTTTTGTGCTTGATTGTCTTGTCACTTGCTATTTTGTTATGCTTCCTGCTACACTATTCATGTACAATCTTTTCTTTTTCATTAGTCGGTTTCAAACCATTTTTCCCCTTTTTTTGTTCTCTGGATTCTTTTAGCTTCCCAACCACGTCTTGCCAGAGTTTCATGTTTCATCAGACGGGCTGAAAGAACGAGAAGTCCAGCTGGGATTTACGGCTGTAAGTACCGGCCGATTTTTTCGCTGTTTTTTCTGACAACCAACTCTTTTGGTCATTCATTCTTGCAAGGAGTCTTCTTATTGACTGCGTGCTCAAGCTGTCGTACACACTGGAAGTCACCTAAACTGGTGGAAATGCTAATTTCGAGTTAAAAGGGCTTTGTCACGAAATTTTTCAAAATTCAAACATTGAGAACTGCCACCAGATATAGTGAAACATAAAAGTAACCGCTCAAAACGTTGAAAGAAGGTTTAAATATCAGACCAAGTACAAAAAGAGGCATGGATGGACAAACTTGAATAAGAAAGAAACGGATTGTAATTGGAGTTTCTAAAAACTTTTTAGGCTAACAGTTTTGCAAAGTAACGTCTGATATGATGGTGGGGAGACAGTTTTGTTTTACTTTAGTAGTTTCCAAATTCATGAATTCTCGTCTCCACTCAAGGGACAGGTTCACGGTTAAGCGCATGCTCGTTAATTAAATTACTTTTTTTAAATTTATTATTAATTCTATCGGTTAATAATCCCACTCACATGTAGTATCTTAGCGAACTCAGAGTGTATTTCAAAGTAGAAGTGTATTCCAGAGTAATCTGAAGTAGGATGGAGGAGTACTAAAATCGCAGAAAAAAATTAGTGGATTTTGCCAACTCTACCAACGTTGAATTTATTGTTGACCCGAAGGTTTTATTCCATGGTTGATGAATCTACAGCTATTTGCACATAAGTTGATCAAGTAACTACCAGGGGAGTGTGCAGATTGGTTCTTTGACAACATTATGACATGATCATATTGCGTGCATAGACGATTCAGCATGTCCCGACAGAAAACAGCATTTTGATAAATGAGCATGTGCCAAACCGTGAACCTGTCCCTTTAATGCCATCCTGCCCCAGTTCTTCAAAAAGAAGGATAGCTGGAAACCAATTGCTTTATCCAGTAGAAAGAGATTTTTCCTTTGGACAGGGTTATCCACCCTTTGAACATCTGGAGCCAGGCTTGTAATGAGAAAATCACAATAACTTATCTCTATAGTTAGCAATTGCTGAATGAGGCTGAGTAGGAGGTGAAGAATCGAGGAGGATGTTATCCACCGAGGTTGAAGGCCTCGCATCTTCCAAATTTGGTCAACGTCAGTTTGTTATGAAGAATTAGCCGGGGGCCTTGAGCCAATCAGAAATGGTGAAATATTTTAAGTGAATGATAACTGCATCGAAACCCCTTTTGCAGGGTTTATTCTACAGCGCGGCCTTGCGGGATTTCCGCAATTTGGAAAAAAATGCCGCATAAAATATGCGTTGCCGCGTCAAACGAGGCGCAAAAAAATAGACCCAAGGATAAGTACTATTTTTTGAAATAAAGTATTCAAAAACATTACTGACAACAACACTGATTTGACGGCCGCTCTTTAAACTTACTTCGAACTTTTATAGCCTTTTACTTTCTCAATTGCCTTTCTCTTCTTCGTTTAAGTCATTACTTCACCAGACAAACATCCGGGATTCTGCAGTAATTCGAGCCCAGACTTTTTCAGTTGCCCAGAATGTTCCAAAATGGCGGCAACGCGTCAATAAAGGTTCGTTTTCCCATGGAACAGTCTGCACCAATAAGTTCGAATACCTTTTGGGGACCCCCCTTTCTTGAAAAAAGGCCCCCTAAAATTACAGAAGGGGGCCCATTTGACCCTCATTGGCCAATTTTTAGAATCAACCCTGCTTCTGGTAGCAGGACTCTGCCAAGGAATTGTGTTTGACGTTTCAGTTGCTGTATTTGTATCGTTTGCGTACAACCCTGCTGTGTTGTGTTTTGTAGGATGGTAATATCGTAATCAAGAACATTCAATTTGAGGATGGCCCACTTGGACACAGAGAAGTCAGCATTAGATGGAAGGATCTTATATGTTATCAAAGATTAGAGGTGAGTATTTTAGTATTTTTATCATAGATTGCGTGTTTCAATATCTCTTGTAATTTTAAGGTTAAACTTCATGAGTGCAGAATCTAATGCAAATGAGCGAGAACAATAAAATTTTCCTTCTAGTAAAAACCAAAAGTTTACGGAATGTAGGCGACAACGATCGAAGGTCAAAACGCTTTTGCTCCAACGATGTGCTTTGCGCAAGTTCGGCACGTGACAGATGGTCAAAACACGCGTGATCAGTTTATGAGTGATAGAAGGGCCAAACGTGCGTAATGAGCATTCCATTCATTCTAAGTGGAAGTCCAAACGAATGCAAGCTACATACATGCGACGCATGCGTAATAACAACCTGTAGATTAGGATTGCGTGCTCCTCTCATCGCCCGCAATTAGCGTTGATTTCGGCACATGTCAGTGAAGTTCGACGTTTAGAACTGGCCTGAGAGAAATCATCACTTGCCCTAATTAGACAAAGGCATGGATAACTTGTCGAAGAGGTTAATAAACTAACAAAATGATGTAATGAACAAGAAAGTTAAATTCTCCCAACTATTTTTATAAGGACTTGTAAAGTACAGTATAGAGTATTTATATGTGGATGTACTTGACTACTCATCTCCCTCCAGTGTGGCGCGGGTTCGTCTGAGGCGGACGGTCATGTTATGTTTGTTGATGCTTCTCTCCCCCGTGGCTGATTCTTTACCGTGTTGCTCCTTCTCTCTCTTGCTTCAAGAGAGCACGGTAGTTTTCCTCTCGCCTCAAAATCCAACAATTGCAAATGGCAATTCGCCAGATGTGTACAAACTTACGAAAGCCTGATATTTTTAAATTTACGCGTAAATTGTACAAACGTTTTAGATTTAGAGGAAGTGCATTCATGTAGTGGTTATTCGTCTACAAACTTGATCGTATTAGACGGCAAAACAGTCGGGTTTTTTTTCTCAAAATCGGTTTAGCGTAGCTTAAGAATCTCACACGCCCGAAGAGCGCAAAACTCACACGGTCTCTCCCCAGTCTTGCTCTCCGTTTTCAGCCTTGCACCAGACCTTCTGTTTGACTGCTTGCGCGTACTTGAATACGCAAAAATACGGACTGTTGTGCAGTCTATGATCGTACGGAAATTTGGAAACTCAACCACTTATGGTCTCGCTTCTGGGACCAGCAACATAAGTGTAAGGCGGGTGGTCTCTTTCTTGCCTTCCACTTGCAGCTTACTTGGAAAAAGACCCAGATTTTTTCAAGCGCCAACGAAGCAAACCTATTTGTGAGGGCAAATTGTCATGAGTCAATTTGAGTTTTTGACCAGACCTAAATTGTTGGTACATTAATGTTTGGTTTTCAGGTTATTGCAGGCCCACCAGCGAAGCTAAAGATTCTAAAGTTTGATCATTCTGAGGTAGGTATGAAAAACGCGTGTCTTGGACCCAGTGTTTCAGTGTTCCATCTTCAAATTTTGAACACTGAGTTCAATCTATCAATGAGTAAGTCCCAAACCCATTGAAAGAGCGTCCTTTTGACGCTTGGAGCTTGGAGCCCCACCTGACATTGGATTAAGAGGCATAAGCACATTTCAACCATGACTTCTTTGACTCTTCAACAACACTTTCATGCACAACAGTGTTGTGTATAAAGTCTTTTTCTCTCCTCAGTGAGTTAGGGCGTTTTCCATTTGTCAGAACTGACCGGCCAGCACATTCCCGTCGTAATGAAAGTTTTACTTGTTATGAAAGCTATCCAGCCAGATCAGTCAAATCCTAATAGTATACACGAAGGAAATCGTTTTTCATCAAAAACTCTTGGAAAAAGCCTATTTCATTTTCAAAATGACAGGTCCAGCCATGGTCTGGCTGGCCAGTTCTGACTTTTGGAAAGCACACTAAGTTAGAGTGCTTGTTGAGATTGCCTCGACCTCTGACTTGCTGTAGTACGAAACAACATTGCTTGGAAAGCTTCCTATGCGTTATCAAGCCTACTCTTGTACAAAGTCGAGTTCATGTTGTGATTTGTTTTACTTGTTTTACAGCCACTTTCAGTGTTTAACGATACCAAGATGCCATTTCCCCTTACTGTTCAACTGTGTGACAAGCTTGAAAACCCTTCAGATGAGCCTAATGTTAAGGTGGTCCTTAATACGGACAGAGGAATTAAGGTGAGAATCTCAGTTTTTGTTATTCAATTAAATTTTGACCAATCCTTTAATAGTTTGGTCTCCTTTTAATAGATGCAGTTTCAGTTTCACAACGGCCACTTTTTTAGTCCCAGCGGATAATCCGTACATTGACTCTTGTCTAAACCTCTCTACAACGGCCGCCTCTCAACAACGGTAACGGCCACTAAAGCGTGTTCCCAAATAAGGCGACAGCAACGAGATAGGTTAGATTAGCAAAACAGCAACTTTGCACGTGCATCACGCTTTTTTGTACAGTTCTTAGCCGTCGTTGCACGACCACAACGTGAAAGTGCCTAATTTCACGTTTTGTCGAGGACGGGAACACAAGACAACAACTTTCCTTTTCTTTTCCTGAACTTCGATACAATCCTTCAGAATTCGACTCCAAAAAAAATTGCCCACATTTGACGAATTGAAGTGACGTTTTCATAGCCTTCGCTGTCGTTCTTGCTTAAGCTCCCTATTAGCTCTCGACAACGGCCAGTTTTTTCAGCAACCGATCATGAAAAAGTCAAGAATGGTCATACAGTTTGATCCTTATGGCGCGTTAGTGATTAATCGCGGCAATCGTATTTTGATTGTGATCCATTTATACTGCTGCAGTGAGTATAAATTGTCTACGATACTTGTCGCGAATGTTGTGAGCCCAGCTTGTTCTGTCAGGTTAACATTTTAATTCAAAGCAATATTCAAATTTTTGTGTATTTTATCTCTATGTATTATATATGATTGGATTACCATTATGAAATACAATAAGAATGAACTTAGTAGCGCAATAAACATGTTGTACTCCCGACCACACCGTAACGGCCACTTTCTTCTGTCCCCAAGGTGGCCCTTGTGGAGAGGTTCGACTGTATTATGTAATCTGCGACCTTTTCTTGCACCTACGAAGATCTGGTCGAATGAACTGTTTTTACTACCGTATTTTTTTAGCGTTCTATCGATGGTACGTTGTGCACCTGACTATGCAAATTTATATAAATCTGTACAAAATGATGTTTTTCTTGGTAAGAATCTAATTGTGGGCACTTTTATTATTTTATTTTTTTCAGTTGACTCCAGCACCCGCTCAGCAGAAGACGGACAGCAAGGGCCAAGCAACGTTTGGTCAACCTACTGTGAGCGCAACCAAGTAGGTGGAATATGAACATTTCAGTCTTCTTGTGCCCCTGTTCCTGCCTCTTACTTGATAGTTCTTACCCCAGTCCTTGACGAACGTTACTGAGTCAAACAAAAGCTTTCTTTACTTTGTATACCATCTCCTGATCCTGCTACTCGACAATTTGAATTCCCTCTTAATGGACGCTTCTATTAGTGGGACACCTAGAGTTGGTCCCTACCGTTCTTCAGTCATTTTCCTTCGACTCTCAATAAGATGGACACATCTCTAAAAGTTGGTCTCTTTCGTTCTTCATTCATTTTCTTTGATTCTGTATAAGACGGACACCTTATAACGGACACCTAGAGTTTACTCCTGCCATTCCTCATTCGGACACCTCATTCGGACTACCATTCTTCATATATTTTCTTTGACTCTTTATAAGACGGGCACGCCCCTAAACCGGATACCTAGAGTCTGTCTCCTCCCTTCTTCAGTCATTTTCTTTCAGTTTGACTCTTTAAGACGGACACCTCCCCAAAAAAGAAATCGAGAGTCGGTCACTACCATTCTTCATTTATCTTCCTTGACTCTCCATAAGACGAACACTTCCCTTAAACAGACTCTAAATGCCAGCATACACTTGGTGCCGATCAAAAAATATCCCTCAGTCGACTTTAAGAGCCCCAACCTTGGCATTTCTTAGGAACAACCTCTTCTTCGGTCATAACTTTTAAGTGTGTAAAATAACTTGGGGTAACGTGTGTTTGGAAATCAGGGGAATGTATGGAATAAGAATCAAAGCTCTTCTTGGAAGAACTGCATTGGATGCGCCTACGATAAGCGTGAGGTAAGTTCTGTGAAGTAGATCAACACACATTTCACAATAACTCAGTGATTTGGTCGAGATATCTGATTTATGAGAGTTTAGACCTCTCAAATGGCTCCAAATGTCTAAAACTTTAGTGGAACTGCGAACTGCACTCCAGTGGTTTCACTGCAGCGTATTAAAGATTTTCACGGTATCTCTGTGGTCTGTAAGAGTATGGACAATGGAAAATTGTTGTTTATTCGCCGAAATATTCAATATTTTGTATCAACAGCGATGTTGAACGTCGCATTTAAAGCAAAAGGAAACGGCAGAGACCATGACCAATTTTCGCGCTGTAAATGGACTACTGAATTCGCTTTTGCCGTTTTTGGAGATAGCTAGTACATCGCTTAGGAGTGAATATAGTACATACGTTAGCGCAAGCGTTGGAAGAAGTCTGATGCGTCAAAGCTACTTGCGATCGCTTTTCTCAAGTTGGTGCTTTTGATACTGTAATTTCTTGTGGTACCTACCCGCCACGACTAGCTGTACCTATTTGCGGGTAGTTATATCTGTACTTTGATATTCTAATGATAAAGTTGTTGTAGCTGTTATATGTTTTGCATTTCAGAGTGGAACCTGACCCATCAAAGGCTGTAAATCTTAACGTCACGTTTGATTCTAATGCGCCGTGTGTCGTTGGAGAGTTGTTACCAAGTAAGTGAGACCATTAGATTGACAGTAGTCTGGTAGGACTGTTGCGCAGGCAAGTGTATCCCAAGCAAGCAAACGGGTTTCCAGTTTTGCCGTCAAAACTTGCGCTTTCCATAGGCTGGATTTCCGCCGCTATCTCGGGTCCGGTCGAGGTCGCAAGCTCATTAGGGAGCTTAAGCAACGACGACGGCGCCATCAACGAGAACGGCAAAAAACAATAAGGTTTAGATTTGCAAAACAACAACCTTGCGCGTGCATCACCTTTTTTTTTTGTACATTTCTTTGCCGTCGTTGCACGAGTACGACGTGAAACTTCCTAATTTTACGTGAAGACAAGACACCGATTTTCCTTTTTTTTTCGTGAACTCAGACACAGTCCTTTAGAATTCAACTCCTTAAAAAAATAGCCATCATTTGACAAATTAAATAGTTGGGATAAGAGCAATGAAGTTTGAAACAGCGCGAATTCACTTTTTGGGTGACGTTTTCTCCATCGTTGCCGTCGTCGTTGCTTAAGCTCCCTAGTTACCGAACAGCGACTGATAATCGAGTCTAGACTACGAGTAGTCCCCATTTTTCCTCAGGGATAGTAGAGCGAGCGAAACGCGAGCGCGCGTGAAAATCACCCCACGCGAGAGAGGCGAGACGGGGCTACTGACGGGTTAAGACTGCATTGCAGGTCAAATACTTTGTCTAGTGACTCTGCATTTTAACCATTTAATCCCCAATAGTGACCAAGATCCATTTTGTCTTAATAATATCAACACATAATCAAGAGAAACGGTTATGAGAATTTATATAATGATCACCTAAGGGAAAATGCTTTGATTTTTTCTCCACTTTCAGCAGCATCTGACTGATATTAGCTATAGGGAATTCTCATCCGAAACGGAAAGTGATTTGCAAGGACTTGTTCGATTAGCACCCTCTGGGATTTCAGACCTACAGGGTGGCAATTCTCCCAACTAAGTCTTAAGGCAAATGTATGGAGATCAGTCTGGAGAATTTGTGGGTGGATATCGAGGTTTAATACAATTGGCTATGTCTTTCTAAGCATTGCGCTCAGCATTGTGTGACCAAATTCCAGGTGTTTGGAGATCCATAGGATTTTACTTTAACCTGAATCTGAGTTCTACGATACGAATTCAACTTTAAAGCAGTTTGGCCACGTAAGGACATTGACATATTGAACACTTTTACCTGAAAATTTGATTGACTCATTCCTTGGGTGGGTGTTAGCATAAGAGGTTCAGGTTGGGGGATGTTTTGTCCCCCAAACAAACCTACTGTCCTGCGTTTCAGCTGTTTCAGCCCATGTCGTTGGAGAGGACGAGGCTGTAATGAAAGCAGCAAGTGCTAAGGACATAGTGTTGAAGATATGGCACTCTAAGGACGGTCCAGTATCAGACAAGCCGCCAGCCAGGGTATGTTATACTAGCCTGTTTTCTTTCACATCACATAGTAACTGGGTTTCACAATACATACACTGTAAGTGTCAAGATTCTTAGGCACTAACTAGCCGAGAGCTATTTTCCAGGGCTGTCACCAAGATTTCAAGTTGACGTTATATGCAATCAGTAGGCGGGAAATTGAACTTCAAGGAAATCGTTATGTCCTAGTTTCCTTTTGTTTCGTATGGGAAGTGCCGGATCCAGACCTTGAGATAGGGAAGGGGGGAGGGGGGGGGGAGGGTGGGGGTGGTCATCCAGACCCTTAGATAAGAGGGGGGGCGGTCTCCCAAAAAGTTTTTTTCGGCCCTTCGGGCCTCAGTTTGGTCCAAAAATATGGGAAGGGCGGAGGGTGGCGGTTGGGGGGGTGATCGGGCCCCCGGGTCCCTCCCCTGGATCCACCACTGCCGGGGATAATGTTTATAGTATCCGGAGAAAATCCCCTGCACTTTCCTCTTAGCATATCCACATCAGAAGGGATTGGTTACGACTCAGAAGTGGTAAAATGACTGGCCTATTGTTGATAACCTAAACTGTTATCGTACTGAGGTCACAACAGTGTAGCATAATGCCGGTATTAATGGAAACCACCAAGGCTGTACATTTTACTTATATTGTAATTTTGTTAAGGCCACAACGTTGTATCCATCAAAGCGGAAGTTAACGGATAAAGATGGAGAATTCTACTTCAGGTAATAATAATAATAAGAAGAATACGAATAAATATGACAATATATAATAATATAATATGTATATTGCGCATATACAATGGAAATATTTTCATATGCGCATTACAAACGCTGAGAAAAAAATAAGTCAGTTAAAAGCTATCTTAAAAAAGTACGTTTTGAGGGCTGTCCTAAAAGATGTAAGGCTCTGTTTTTTTTTAACTCCGCTGGAAGACTGTTTCACAGTTTGGGAGCTGCGACTGAAAGGCTCGGTCACCAAGTCAGTTGGTAGACACAGTGCGTTGGCAGGTACCAACAAAGTGCTTTCCATTTGTCAGAACTGACCGGCCAGACCATTCCCGTCGTAATGAGAATTTCACTTTTAATCAAAACTACCCAGCCAGATATGTTAAATCCTAAATAGTTTGCACGAAGGAGATGATTTTTCAGCAAAAACTCTTGGAAAAAGCTTATCGCTTTGTCAAAATGACTGGTCCGGCCATGGTCCGGCCGGCCGGTTCTGACTTTTGGAAAGCACCCTAAGATTACTTATATCTTGACTGATCAGTGACGGTAATAATATGAAATAAAGTATGGTTGATTGAGTAGTTTTCAAAGCAAGCAATGCAAATATTTCCATGCATTCTCTTATAACCATATATTGTAAACTGCACTCACTAGGGACCTCAAAGTACCAGATATGTCAGGTGGCTATTGTATGGTAGTACAGTTTGGATCTGCAGGAGCAGCCACACTCTGTAGTAAACCGGTGAGAGCATTGTTTGTTTAACGTGGAGTCTTCCTTAGCAGTTACATCCTGTACAAACCCTTAGTCTATTAGTAGCGACACTACATTGAAGGGAACTTGCATTTATATTTGTAAATTTCTTCTTGTAGTCTGCAACGTTAGGAAGAGCTTCCTTGAGCGAAACACACAGAATACCATCTTGCGGTCTTTTTGTTGTCTGCAACGTAAGGAAGAGCTAACTTGAGCACAGCACACCAAATCTGATACCACTTGCGATTACTACAGTAGCTCTTCCAAACCTCTACTTTCATTGGCCTAAATAATCAGTAGCTTCTTTTGTTTTTAGGGCTAAGGGTATTGTTTGTGTTGAATCATCTGTTGTTTCGTTCTCCAATCACAGACCATATCTGAAGAGCTACTGACCTTCTCTCCTTTCATTGCACCTTAAACCTGTTCACTTATGAAGAAGCACTTTTGTTTAGCGGCATATTTTACAGAAGATTCATTTCATTTTTGTACAAGTTAATCAGTTTTATCACCTTTAAAAGAATATGTACAGGAGAGTTGTGTTTAGTAATACATACTACCCAGCGTTCGGAGAGTTCATTGGCCACGTCAGCTAAATACTATACCTTACCAAATCTTAACGATAGTAAGAGCCAACTATGTTCGTTAACATAGAGTTTCACGTATTCCCTCTTGCAGATCACATTCACAGCAAAGGCTGGTCTCCCTGTGAAGCTTGAACCGGAGACGATGCCTGCGACTCCTACTGTTTCCAACACTCAAAGGACCAACAGCCGAACCCTGGTGAAGACACTCAAGTTACAACTTAAGGTACTAATATTTACTGTTTTTGGCTGTGTTCTCTCCTCACTGTAATGCAAAAATGACCCCACATCTTCAATTACCATTTCTTTGCGACGTCATGCGTATAAATGTAGGCCAGCGGTGGTGAGCATTAACTCTGTTTGAATCCATGTTGACCAGTGTTAACAATAGAAGTGATGGTGTGATCAAAGACCTGACAGAATTGAAATCAAGTATTCGTATCACCACCATCTTCTGTCTAGTAGCTTTCGCAACCTCTTTTTAAGTAATAGTCAGGTTCACCATTGTGAAACTCAACTAGCCTTTCAGCATAGACCTCATTTCTGTAGAACTAATATCAAGCAGTTGAGTATCCTTTATCGAGGACCAACAATCTGGAATTCGTTGCCAATTTCACTAACCAGCTCTTCTTCCATATTTCCATATGTTTTTTGTTGGTTTGTTTGTTTGTTTGTTTGTTTATGTTTTGGATTTAACATAACGAACGTAGGGCATTTTTCTCTTTTCTGATCTGAAACCAACTAATGTTGCAGCTCTCGTTAGTTGCTGATCTCTAAACAACGTTAAAAAACCCTCAGCATACATAATTAAAGTTCCAGTTCAATATTCAAGATTGCTTGATACACATTTGTTGAAGAGCAGCTCAAACATTTGTTGTTCAACTGAAATTAGTTTTCTGGATCGGCCAGACAAAAATTTAAAACCTTCTGCACTCTAACCCACATATTTTAATCTTACTGATGCCCTTGCGAACATATTTTTTTAATTAAAACAATGGCCAACCAAAGGTGAGAAACGGGAGCAATGTCAGTGGTACCGAAACAGTCACGTGAGGATTGAACTATTTCTTACGTGAAAGTCTTTGTTTATCCAAGAAATTTTCATAACCACTTGGTACGTGAGTAAACGATCTATTGTTTTCTCTCTTAGAATACGCTTTTTAACGGCTTAAATTAAAGTCCCGTCTACACCAATCGGGTTATTTTTGTAACTGTACAATTATATGTATTTTTTACCCTGATTCGTGTGGAGGGGGTCTCAAACCTGTCTCTGGAGGGGGGGTTTCAACAAGATGCCTTCTTGGATAGTGGATCTACTGGTTTCTTGTGAACGAATGGCCGATTTGTGTAAAAAAAATGCGGTTTCAAAAATAGCAAGATTCGTGTGGACGGGACCTAAACTGGCGTTTTGTTGTTGATGCAGATCACAAAATGGCTTCATACTGGATCCTTTTTGCTTTTCCGTAATAATTGTCACCGTCGTGAGTGTACAGTTTGCATCTAACTATTCCGGGTATTGTCTCCAAGTTTTATGTTTACATTAACGGCACTAACTAACAATGCATTTGAAATATGCAGAAATCTTAGTTATTGTTTTGTTTTTAAAATATGAAACTTGGAGACAGTACCCTAAACAATGAGAAACTTTCACTTGTAAACACGAAATTTTCGACAAAGTAAAATAGCGAATTGAAGTCCTTATTTTATTACCTTACAAGTTATCAATAACATTGAAGCTGAAGGGTCATATAAAATGATGGTTAATCTCGATAATCTCAAATTTTTAAAAATATTTATCTAGCGGTTTCAAATTTATTTGCTCATTTGTTAAAGTAGACCAAAATATTTAGAAAACGCCAATAAGAGCACCTCAATGTATTATCAAATCCCTCTTTCTTACGAAAGGCTTAAGACGTTCCCATGCTACTTAGAAACACGTTTAAAAGTGAATGAAAGTACTATGAGCCAGAACTGCATTTCAAAATCGCTTCGTTTTCTAAAGATAACGGCCGAATACTGAATACTGAATTTCTAACCACAAATACTTCATCCCAAAATATCTTCAAAACGCTCTCATAGATTGCAAAGGTCCTGATTTGAACTATTTTGGTCGAAAAGTTGGTAGGAACTTCATGTAAGCCTTACGTTTATTGTCCTGAGACATACATGGCCTTACATGTCGATGACGTCACAGGTACGATAGCAGTTGTGTAGTTATTCTAGTACAGTTACTGTGCTGCCCGTAGTCTTTGTAGTTCCTGTAGTTATGTCAATGTAACCCGGCTGATCATGACAAGATTTTCATCTTTATCTGATACAGTTTTTGTCAATTGTGACGTAGTTAATGCTCAAACATGGGAGGTATTAACCCTGAAAAACCCCATCGAGCCACCTTAAGAGAATGTACAGTGAGTAGCTCTTCCCCCCTCCTCCACTTCCCCTGTATATAACACGCTACATTGTTTTCTTTAAACAGCAAAGATCTTGAAGTTACCAGGATAACATCACTAAGTGCAAGTCCCAAGTACCGTACTGCCGTCTGTCAACAGTAGAGAACTTAAGATGGAGACGTTTTCGGGGCGACGGCGACCGGACTGGCAGAGAAAGCCTGGAACTAAGGCAGCCGTCGCTCCCCGTCAAAAATAGAACATTAAGATCGCAGTGAACTCAGAAGGACGGCGCCTTTAATTAGAAGAATACCGAAGAGGAAAATATGGCTTCACATAAAGAATTAAGAGAATAAATATTTGCTATGCAGACAACATGTATCGGATGAAGAGTTTCTCGTTTTGTGGGAAAATTATGAGTCCAAAAATCCCGATTTTCCTCGGGACAGTTACGATCCGTTCACGCTAAAAAACATGCGGGATGCAGCTGAGTTCAAGGCAGAATTTCGTGTTGAAAAAAAATGATCTCCACAGGCTTGCGAAGCCTTTTAAATTACAGGAACATTAAAATGCTACCAAGGAACCGTATTCTTAGTTTGGTATTGAAATAATTCCCGGGAAATACTTGCATGCAGCAACAACAACA